AAATTCAATATGCCAGTGCCTAGCACAATGCCTGGCACATAACAGGCATTTAATAAATAAATATTTGTTGACTGACCAAGAACAATAATTGTTTCATTTTCATCTCTAAATCTTGAGTACCTAGTGCAGAGCCTTTCATGGAAACACTAAATGTTCAATTGAATTGAATTATAAAAGTCTTGACAAAAGATTTTTGGCTTTTCATTGGACAGGTGAAAAAGGAAGACCACTCCCATACCACAATATTAAATAGTTCCTATGTCATTCTTGCCATAGTGGGTAAATGGATGAACTTGGTGGTATATTTATAGGAAGAAAGAATTTGTTTCTGGTAGATTAGAGTCTGAGCAGCAGTGTCAAACTCAAAGAGAAACCATTCCCTGTAAAGCTACATTTTGACTTAGAAAACCACAAATTAACATGATCTATGTTGTACCGTATTTTATTTATTTTGTTAAACACTTCCCAATTACATTTTAATCTGGTTCCCTCCGCAAGCCAGAGTTTTGCTGGGCATGGGTTTGGCAGCTCTGATCTAGAAAACATTTTGGGTTATATTAGTGGCACAATGGATAGAGTGCTGGATCTGGAGACAGAAAGATTCATCTTCCTGAGTTCAGACCTGGCTTCTGACTCGTACTAGCTGTGTAACACTAAACAAGTCACTTAACCCTGTTTGCCTCAGTTTCTTCATTTGTAAAAAAAAAAGTGAGCTGGAGAAGGAAATGTAAAACCATTCCAGTATCTTTGCCAAGAAAACCCCAAATGGGGTTACAAAGAGTCAGAAACAACTGAAAGAACTCAACAACAAAAGCAGAAATTAAACAACAGGAAGACACATAATTACACATTATAAACTAGCGGTGTTATTGGAACACTGGGACCTCATTCCAAGAATATCAGCAAATAATTCTAATGACAATGAGAGTAAAATACAAAATGGAAGCAATGAGACCTTACCAAACCACTAATTTTTTTTGAAAAGTAGGCATAAGAAACATGAGAGACTGTAGGCTAGGATAATAATCCTCATGATGACCTAAGAATCACAAAAGAGGATTAGCAAGTTAAAAATCAATCAACCAACAAGCATTTTTTTAAAGTGCCTACTGCGGGCCAGACTCTGGGGGTACAAATACAAAGAATAAAACAAACCCTATTTTCCAAGAGTTTGTATTTATAGTACATTTCATTATCACTCACAAAGTGACTCAAAAAATTCCCTCCAAGTGAACTCTCACCATCTGAAGAACAGAGTCCAGAGGCTGTTTGTCAAAGAACCAGAGAACTTCAAAACCTCCTTGCCAGTCTCTTTTTCACCTTCAGAGTAAAAAGCCTTGCTCCCCTACTACAACCACCACCACCAAGGAGGATGAATGGAGAATTCTTTTCTCCAATATAAAATTATCAGTTAATAGGATTTAGAGCTAGAAGGGACCTTAGAGGTCATCTACTCCCATCCTCTAGAGAGGTAAAAGGACCACTCACAGTCACCCAGACAGTAAATAGCAGATCTGGGATCCAAAGCCACATCCTCTGACTCCAGACCCAGGTAGGAAGAATTTTTATAAGATTTTCATTTCTCCCTCTAGGCCTTGCTTTCAGTGCTATAGGCAGGACAAAGCTTGAGCAGACACCTGGCTTTTAATTCTGTGACTTTTTCTCTTACAAAGTTCCTCAAGCAGGACCCTTTGTCAAATCACACAACAAAACTCAGTTCAAAATGAGAAGTAAAAAAATCACTGCTTCCCTAAGATATAACCCAGCCTTGGTTTTATAGGCCACTAAAAGGCACTCAGCTTTAGTCACTGGTATGCTGCTGTAGGGAGATAATCTTCCTCCTGAGGAGCCATGGGGGTTAATGGCAGGAAGCCCAAACAGTTGTCAAATGGGCAAGCCTGAGACATAAAGCATTATTCTAAAAGAAAAAAGCATCAGTTATTACCAACTGTCCCTTATTGCCCATTGCAGGAGCCTGTTTAGCAGGCAATTAAGAAAGATACTACTTCCTCTGTGCAACTGCCTAAGGAGTTTAAGTTGTTAACAGGCCTGGGTACTGAATGAATTGAAAGATTCCTGTCTCTAAGGCCACAACCCTTGCTTGATTTACCACCTTCTCAATTCCTTTATAGTCACACTCAGTGGCATTCTGACCCATCTACTGCCACAAGATCAAATACAAACAAGCTACCATACCTGGCTCCTCCAAAGCACATCTGCCCCATCAGCCGCCAGTTGCTGGTATCATACTCAAGTTAATACCAAAATCTTTACTCCTTTTCTAATCTTTGTGCAGTGAAAATGGAAATTTCTGGGATCCTTCCTAATTTACTGAGTTGCTTACAAAAGGAGAATTTTACTTCAAAGCTAGCTAAAAACTTTTCTGTTCTCATTACCCTGATTGCCACCCAGAGTCCACAGATTGTCTCAAAACAGCAGGAGGCAGAAACTTTTTGTGCACAAAGAATGCGTGAGTGAGCAGCTAAGCGACCTTGAACAAGTCACCTTTCATGGCTGGGCCTAGTTACTTCATCAATCAAAAGAAAAGGTTAGACTAGCGTTATGTCTAAGGTCAATTCCACCTCTGAGATTATCCAGTTCTATGCTTTCCTCCTTCCCTTATTATATTGTTACTCTGCTAAAACAGCCAAATTTAAAGATATTTTTTCCATAAACTCACAAACTATGCTCAATTAGGACAGGAATGAGAGCTGAAAGAGACTTAGTTCAGTTCCTCAGTTCTATAAGTGAAGAAATCAAGGCAGAGGGAGGTTTCTCACTTTCTGAAAATCAGAGCTACTTCATGACAGAATTTTGACTAGGACCTAGGCAACCTGGCTTCCAAGTCCAGAACAACAGGTCTTCTCTCACTCTGGCACAAAGAAGCCCACCACTCAATCTTGTTTTGGTTTTGGTCCTTCTCCAAAAGTTTAGTAAGGTTGAATATCCCGAAGCAAAGAGGAATAGTACTAACATCTGGAAAACCCCTCTTAAAGCAAGAAATCAGCAAGAGAAACCTACTGGTGAATTAAAGGGCTGGTGAGAATGAGAGTGAGTCTCAAAAAAATCAGCAAAAAGCTAGCCCAGCTAGTCTGACCAAGAACTGAATGAGAAATCCTTCTGTAACATCACCAAAAACTGGTCTCTAAGAGTCGCTGCTTGATTACTTCCAATGAGAAGGTACTCCCTACCTCCCAAAGCATCCTTTTGTATTTTGGGACAGCTCTTATTTGGGGTGGGGGTTATTTTTGTTTTTTGAAACTGGTTCTCCCTGTCTCACCCAGGCTGGAAATACAGAGTCCACTCTCTGACCTGTTCCCAGTACTGATCTCTGATCTGCATGAAAAACTTTGACCTGCTCCATTTCTAACCGGGGCCCCTCCTTAGGCAGCCTAGAGGCCCCCATCTCCCAGGAGACTAGTGACATATTGGTACCAAATTTAGTGCAGACATTCAGTTGGCTTAGCCCTACTTCAACTCAGAACTCTCAAGCTCAAAGGATCTGCCAGCCTCAGCCTCCCCAGTAGCAGGTATCATAGGCATTCACCATCACACCCAGCAATAGCTCTAAGTCTTAAGAAAATTTTTCCTTATAGTGAGCCAAAATCTGGCTCTCTGCAGCATCCACACACTGCTACGACTTTCATTCTCTGAGGCCAAATAGAATAAGCAATCAATTCCTCTTCCATGTGACAGTCCTTCAGCTACTTGAAGAAAGTTATCATGAACCTGAGTTTTCCATTCTGCAGGTTTAATTATCCCTATCCTTCAGCTAATCTGCAAATGGCAGGTTTTCCAGCCATCTTCAGTGGCTCTCAATTATGTCCAGTATCAAACATAAAGTCCTTCATAAACTCTTTGACCTAATAAGAGTGGCCTTGCTGCTCCTCAAAGGAGACACTCTTCCCAATTCCTATTTTCAGTGGATGTGCAGAGAATTCCATAACCTCAGTTCTCTCCTTCCTTATCTTCATCTCCTGGCTTCCCTGAAGTCCCAACTAAAACTTCACCTTCTACAGAAAGTCTGTCCTGATCTCCCTTAATGTAGTGTCTTTTCTCTGTTGATTTTTTCCCCAATTTTCCCTGTATATAACTTGTTTATACACAGTTATTTTCACATTGTCTCCCCCATTAGACTGTGAGATCCTTGAGAGCAAAGACTTTCACAGTACCTGGCACATAGGTGCTTAACAAATATTTATTGACTGACTTTTGCCTTTCTCTGTATCCCCAGTGCTTAGCACAGTGCCTGGTAGATGGTAGGTGTTTAATAAATGCTTGTTGACTCAAGTCTAATCATCATAGTCACTTTCTTCTGGATACACTCCAGCTAGATCTTTCATAAAAGGTCTTTAACAGTAATTAATTTGAGTAACATTTTCAGATTTAGAAAGCACATGCTAGTATCAAAGCCTGTGAGGTAAATACATATTTATCCCTATTTTACAGGGAAGGAAACAGGTTCAGAGGGAGGGGAAATGATTAGCCAATGGACACATAGCAATCAGCAAAATCAGGACTTAAACTCATGTACCCTAAGTTCAATGGCCTTTCCATCACATCCACAGTACTTAAATTCACGTTATCTTTTGCAAAGAAAGAAAACATTTAGAGAAATGACTTACTACTGAATGATCTGAAAAACAATCATAGGGTTCATAGACCCCTAATGGGTCCATGTAGTTTTCAGGTGAACCATGAACTTAGATGGAAAAAAAATACATCTTTATTTTTCTCTTCTTTAACTGAAATTTAGCATTTCCTTCAATTATTTTTAAAAACTATTCTAAGAAGTGATCCATAGGTATCATCAGACTGCCAAAGGGGTCCAAGACACACAAAAGGCCAAAAGCCACTGATACAGGATAATGATCACAACTAAAGATCTCCTGCAAAAAAAGTTTTGTTTTGTGGCTATTTTAATGCCATTTCCCCTGCCCCATACATGCATCTACACAAAAGAACAACTCTGAATCTGCCTTTGCATATATTTTACTTACCCAGGAGAGCATTGTGCCCATTATCATCTGGTAGGAATCTTTTATCAACAGCACAAACTAGAAGGTGGTCTGGCAGATTGGGAGACTTTGCCCCAACGAGGAGAAAGCCTGAAGGTACTTCAATTGGTTCATTAGAAATGGATACAAGTCGCAAGTCTTTTCCAGCTTGACAAAAACCTGGGGGAAAAAAAGAAACATGACTAATACATATTTCTAACTGACTTTCATAAACCAAGCATTCACTCAGATATCATGCCAAACTTGTTTTTCAGTAAATAAACAAAAGTCCCGCTTGTGATTAGCACATATCACATAATGGCATAACCAATATTCATATCAGGGATTCATGATTTTGTTGCTATGGCTGTTGGCAGATCAGAGCTCCTCCAGGCTTAGAAGAGAAATTCACAAGTTTCTAGGAACCATACAACTGATCACCTGGTAACCAAACTTCTGGTAATAGAGCTCTCCACATTTTGCTAGAGTGCTCTTCAGAAGAGGCATACAATTTGTGAAAGAGCCCAATTTCAGAGTCCTTCCAGATGGCTAAGACCTGCCTGTGTGCTTCACTCCACTAGCAAAACTTGAGACTCTAAAATAAAAACAATAATAATAGTTAGTACTTATAGAGTACCAGCTATGTGCTAGGCACTGTGCTACGTGCTTTACAAATATCTCATTTGATCCTCATAACAACCCTGGGCTTTGGTTGTTTTTAATCAATCAATCAATAAACATGTGACTGCCAGTCACTATGCTAAGCATTGGGGATACAAAAAGAGGCAAAAGACAGTCCTTGTCCTAAAGGAGCTTATGATGCAGTGGGGGAGACAACATGCAAACAAATATATACAAAGCAAGCTACATGTGGGTTAAATAGGAGATAAGTAACAGAGGGAAGGCAGTGGAATTAAGAAGGGTTGGGGAAGGCTTCCTGTATAAGGTGAGATTTTAGTTGGGACTTAAAGAAAGCAATGAAGGTCAATAGAAAGGAGAGAGATTCAAATCTGGCCTCAGACACTTGACACTTACTAGCTGTGTGACCCAGGGCAAGTCACTTAACCCTGATTGACTCACCAAAAACAAAAAACAAAAACAAAAAAAGAAAGAAAGAAAGAAGAGAGAGTATTCTAGGCATGGAGTGGACAGCCTGAAAAAATTCCCAGACTCAAGAAATGGAGTGCCTTGTTTTTGGAACAGCCAGAAGGCCATTGTCACTGGACCTACGAGTACATATTAGGAAGTAAGGTATAAGAAGACTGGAAAGGTAGGAGTGGGCCAGGTTAGGAACGGTTTTGAATGCCAAACAAAGCATTTCATATTTCCTCCTGGAGGCACTAGGAAGCCATTGGAGTTTATTGAGGGGAGGGGGAGGACCTGCTGGGCTGTGATATAATCAGACCTTTGTTTTAGGAGAATCACTTTAGTGGTTGACAGGAGAATGGATGAGTGGGGAGACACTTGAGGCAGATGGACCCACCAACAGGATATAGCAATAATCAAGGCGCAAGGTATTGAATGTCTGAACTAGTTGAAGAAACTGAGGTAAATAGATTGCTCAGGGTCATGTAGCTAGTATGTGTCTAAGGCTGGATTTGAACTCAGGTCTTTCTGACTTCAGGTCTAGATCTCTATTCACTGAACCACCTAGCTGTCTCTATACCATCTGTTTATCACCCCAATGGAGCATCAGAGAACTTCAGTAGAGGTATCTCATAAGAGGTAAGGGATTTGGAGCTGGAGGAGAACTTAGAAAGTATTCATTTAAATCTCTTTCTTATACAATTGAGGAAGAAGGGGGGCCTAAAGACATGAAGTCAGAGGTTCCTGGGAATAAGTCAGGTAGGCTTGGGTTCAGATCCCAATTCTATTACACATGACCTGTGTAACCACTTTTAAGTGATTTCACCTCTCAGTTTCCATTCCTGAACCTGTAAAATTATTATTCCTCAAGATACAGAGGTAGCAAAATAAATAGATGAATGAATAAATAAATAAAAAGATACAGAGGAAGTAAGGGAGGCAGATTTAAAGCAAAGTTGTCTAACTCCAAATCCCCTGCTCTACCCACTTTACCATAAAGCCTCTTAAAATAATAGGCATTTAAATAAGAGATGTCATTCAAAAGTAATAAAAACAAATTATAATAAACTCACTTATCTACAAAACCCTAAAGCTTAATTTTTAATACTATAATTTACACTTTTTTAATACTATAATTTACCCTTTTTAAAAAAAATGTCAAGTCAACAAGTTATGATATCTGGATTTCTTTTGAAAATTGACTTCCCGTGGATGTCCTGAACTCTACATACACTCAATATACTGTTTCACTATTTGTTGCTATGGCCTATTGAAAGTGATATTAGTGAGAGTCCCTGCTCCCACACCTGGACTTCATCAAAGACATATTAGGTTCTCAGGTTGACAGCCTGAGTGTGAATTCATTCTGAGTTTGCCCATAGAAATAATGTTTAAAATGTGAGGTATCCACCATATCTGGAGAGCTCAAAGGTTTATAAATTGCTTTCTTTATAATGCAGTGAGGGAATCAGTAGAAGTTATTATAAGGTCTATACTCATGTTGTAAATGGGGAAACTGAGAGATGGCAGAGCCATCACTATCAGTTTTGGTACTTTGACTAATTCAGTCATAGAGGAGGGCAGGCAGCCTCCTAGGACTCTGCCAGGCCACTGAATGAGAGCAGCACTCCTCCCACAAAACTGTTTAAAGGGAGAGAGCACTAACTGATAGCTTTCTATTTTGAGAAGCTATTCATTAGGTTCTAAGCTCAATTGCTTCTACCTAGAAGAAGGAACGCAAATACTCCTAGTACCAGTGGACAGAGTACCAGGCCTGGAGTCAGTAAGACCAAATCCAGCCTCAGATACTTACTAGTCCTGTAACCCTGAACAAGTCACTTCACCCTGTTTGCCTCAGTTTCCCCATCTGTAAAATGATCTGGAGAAGGAAATGGCAAACCACCCCAGGGTCTTTGCTAAGAAAACCCCAAATGGGGTCACAAAGAATCAGATGCTACTGAAAATGATATAACAGGAACAACAAATCCTCTAAATTTCAGTGTCCTTGGAGTAAAGCCCCCATACGGCCCTTGCTCTGGGTCTAGTTAAATGCATTGCCCCTGATCACATGTCCAGTAGGCACCAGTGCCAAGACTCAAACCTTATAACTCCAAATACAGTATCCTTTCCATTCTGCCTGAGCTGGTTAGGCTATACAGGATTACTAACACTGTTATTCAGGTACATTACAAATTAAATGAACTTGTGAGATAGTTTGGGAAACTCACAATCCATTGTCACTTTGTGCTCCAAGTTCCAGTGTACAAACTTCCGGCATACAACCTGCTCTTAATTTTAACTATTTGTGGATCTACTAAGGAAGATATGATTCTGTTTGCCACATGAAGGAATCTAGACACCCAACATAGCTCGTTTTATGAGATACGGTCCTCACACCTTTCTTGCCCTTCAACCCCCTACCCTCTTCACTGAACTTAAGATTGTAGGAAGAATACTGGATGATTCTTCTGGGTTCCTGGGGTCATACCTATGCTATGTACTAGTCTATAGGATCCTGGGCAAGATCACTTAACCTCTCCTGTCCTCATCTATCAAATGGAAGCATTGGACTACCTGATCTCTAAGGTCCTTTCCAACTGTAAAGCTATGACTCATCTGTGGTCCTTCTACCACATAGGCCAGGAGGCCATCTCCTGTTACAGCAGAATCAAAGGCATGCCTTCCTTATGGGAACTGAGAAATATATGAAAGATAACAAAAGAACACAAAAGAGGAGGAAAATCATAGTAATCGCTCAAATTTATTTATCACTTCTTGGTTAAAAAGCACTTTCACATAAATGATCTTATTTAATCTTCAGAATAGGCCTATGATGTAGCCGGGGTATAAATTATTCACCCTATCCCCACTACACTCATCATGTGACTCGGCCAAAGTCACAAAGCTAACAAATGGCAGACCCAGGACTGAAACCCAAAACCTTCTGGCTCTTAAGTACAACTTTCTTTCCACTATACTACCTTGTCTCTCAGTGATTCTACCATGTGCTACACTTTTGTCACTGGGTCTTTTTCCAAAGTCCTCAATGGCCATGGCACTGCTGTCAAAATTATATGATAGTCCAGGACAAAAGGGTTCAGCCACCTTGTCTTCATGGTTTGGTTTAGCAAAAACAACAACACAACAATAACACTGGATTTAGAGTCAGAAGACCTGGATATGCATCCTGTCTTTGCCATTTACTAACTGTATAACCTTGAGCAACTCTCTTTGAGTCTCAGTTTCCTCATCTGTAAAATGGGGGAAAATAGCACCTGTAAGACCTACACCTCACAGGGTTTTTTAGACTCAAATAAGCTCATGTGCATTATACACTTCTACAAACTTTAAAGCACTATGTAAATGACCCCTATTATTTTAACTATAATTAAAACTTAGGGATTTGAGCCCAGTGTACTCTAAAAATCATTTCCAGCTCTAGGATCTCTTCACTTAATAGCAAAAAATAGCCCTTTCCCTTGTGATCCAGCAAAATCCTTACCATCTGTGGTACAGCATCCTTCAGGAGGAGGGTGCATCTGATAAAGGTTAAGGGGACCGCTTGACTCCAGTCCTTCCTCTTCCTCTTCTTCTTCATCTTCATTGTCCCCCCTGCTGGCTGCTAAAGGAAAAGAAATAAACATGGCAGGAGACAGTCAATGTTCTATAATGTTGTGAAAATAAGCTTTTTTTTTTCCCCTTGGCCTTTGTTTTCAACAAACCCAGTGGTAAAACCAGAGCTAAACTTGAAAATTAATTTACTTAACAAATATTTATGAAGTGCCTGATATATGTATGGTAGGTGCTGGGTGATTTACAAAATTTGTACAGAATAGACCCTGACCTCATGAGCTTCCTAGTCCAGTACTGAGAAATCACAGGCTCAATAAAGCAATATAATTAATTGAACAAATATTTATTCAATATGAACTATATGAGAGGCCTAATATGGGGTTCTGGGGATATGAAGATGAAAACTGACACATTCTCTGTCCTCAAGGAGCTTACACTCTAGTAAGGGTATTAGAGATATTATACATAATTAAGCACAATACAAAAATGAAATGTGATAGGGCAAGCAGATATCCAGACACAGTGCTCCAGGAAAATGTGAGGCAAAGGAGATTACTTTCAGTTGGAGTAATCAGGTAAGGTTTTGTGGAAGTGGTGGGGTCTGGTATGGGCTGTGAAGAAATGGGAGGATTTCAACAGTTAGAAAGGAAGAAGATCTGTATTCCTATCATAGAGGAAAGTCTATGAGATCAGATGTAAACAAGAGAAATAAAAATGCTGACAAAGGATTGTGGAGGGCCTTAAATTCGGGGCTAAGGAGTTTACATTTTATCCCATAGGCAACAGGGAGCCACTGAAAATTTCATCTCCCTTCTTACACAATTTCACACTCAGAAATCCATTCTTATATATGTTTGTGCTCACTTCTATATACATTGTAGATGCTCAAGAAGCACTTGCTAACTGATTTTTTTTCCATCTGTACTTTAAATCATGTATTACAGCCTTATGCATCAATGTGCCCTTTTTAAAAGTTTTAACAGTTGGTTTAACAGTTGGTTCAAAACATACCTATGATTGAAGGTTTGGTTTTGCTAGAATTTACCTTAACTCTGTGTCACCAAATAGGCCAATTTCTGCATGTAGATTGTCATTTACATGTAGCATATATTTTCTGCCTCCACCAAAAAAAAAAAAACCCTAGTTCCTCATCATGGCTTGGAGTTGACCTTGGCTTCTCCCAAGTTGGGCCAGAAGAGCACAAGATCTGGAAGAAGCATGTTGAGGCAAGACACTGTGAGCACCATTTAAGGACTAGACTAGTTAGATGCAGAGAGGTTCATGGCCAAAAAGTTAGCCATGCCACAAAACTTATTAAGCCACAACAACACATGATAACCACATACTAAGGCACAGAGGGGCTGCTTTCTATTTTCAAGGGTAAAAAAAATTCACATGCACAGAAAAATCATAGATCTTTAAAATAAGTATATTTCTTAACCATTATTCTAAGACTTTAAATCCAGTGCTCTTTCTACTAAACCATTAAAAAGAGCACTAGGCCAAGGTCACAGTTTGAGCCTCATGAGTTCATTAGCTCTGTCTTGATCGAGGGTGTTTATTAAAATCTACTAGAGTGGTCAGTCTTCTGGCAAACACAGGGCTAGGAGGTTTGTGACCAACCATATCTGAAGGGGGGAGGCAGGAATTCAGAACAAAAGAAATGAGGTCCATAGTAGGAGCCTCACAGTGGCCCTGCCTGGCCTCTTTTGTTCCAGCCTTTCCCCTATCTGTTAACAGGAAGAGAAGACCAAGAGGATCATGATGGGCAAAGGATAAATGCAGCGTGTTTCAGACTCACACAGTTCCTACAGGTAAGCAAAAGTAGATTTGGTACAAAAAATGGGAGTCAGGGGCATAATATTCACCTAAGAGTACAGAAGGGATAAAAGGACTTCCTAGCCCTAAGTCATATGACTGAGGCAAACGCATTGATCCTTCTGGAAAGAAGCGAGTTCAGAGTCAGATGAAATGCATGTAGGCTCTAATCATCCATCTAGCTGGGAAAGAAGGAAAGAGAGAAAGAGAGAGAGAGAGAGAGAGAGAGAGAGAGAGAGAGAGAGAGAGAGAGAGAGAGGAGGGAGGAAGTGAGGAACAAAGGAAGAAAGAAAGAAAAAGGAAAGAAGGAAAGGAAAGGAAGGGAAAGGAAGGGAAAGGAAGGGAAAGGAAGGAAAGGAAGGGAAAGGAAGGGAAAGGAAGGGAAAGGAAGGGAAAGGAAGGGAAAGGAAAGGAAGGGAAGGGAAAGGAAAGGAAGGGAAAGGAAGGGAAAGGAAGGGAAGGGAAGGGAAAGGAAAGGAAGGGAAGGGAAAGGAAAGGAAAGGAAGGAAAGGAAGGAAAGGAAAGGAAAGGAAAGGAAAGGAAAGGAAGGAAAGGAAAGGAAAGGAAAGGAAAGGAAAGGAAAGGAAAGGAAAGGAAAGGAAAGGAAAGGAAAGGAAAGGAAAGGAAAGGAAAGGAAAGGAAAGGGAGGGAAAGGGAGGGAAGGGAAAGGAAGGGAAAGGGAGGGAAAGGGAGGGAAAGGGAGGGAAAGGGAGGGAAAGAGGGAAAGGGAGGAAAGGAAAGGAAAGGAAAGGGAAAGGAGGAAAGGGAGGGAAAGGGAGGGAAAGGGAGGGAAAGGGAGGGAAAGGGAGGGAAAGGGAGGGAAAGGGAGGGAAAGGGAGGGAAAGGGAAAGGGAAAGGGAAAGGGAAAGGGAAGGGAAGGGAAGGGAAGGGAAGGGAAGGGAAGGGAAGGGAAGGGAAGGGAAGGGAAGGGAAGGGAAGGGAAGGGAAGGGAAGGGAAGGGAAAGGAAGGGAAAGGGAAGGGAAGGAAGGGAAGGGAAGGGGAAAGGGAAAGGGGAAGGGAAGGGGAAAGGGAAGGGGAAAGGGAAGAGGAAGGGGAAAGGGAAGGGGAAGGGGAAAGGGAAGGGGAAGGGGAAAGGGAAGAGGAAGGGGAAAGGGAAGAGGAAGGGAAAGGGAAGGGGAAGGGAAAGGGAAAGGGAAGGAAAAAAAAAACCACTTGGCCCCTAACAGCTAAGCTTCAGGGAGCTGACAGATCCAACCTCTTCATGGAGAGAAAGCCACAACACTACTGCTCTCTGAGGTCTGCTTTTCTTATTAAAAGAACTAAAGTTTAGCCTCTAAGCTTCAAAAAAAGGGATTAAATAAATTCTTCCTCTTATGGGGAAGAAGTAGCACCATATTTCTCAGTTTCCCAGTTCCTATTCCAGTTCCCAATTAGCTACAGAAAGGGAAGGCCTGGCCACCAAATATCAGAAATCAATTCACAAGTATTTATTAAGCACCTAATTACAGTATGTACCAGCTGGGATAGTAGGGAAAAAAAACCTCAGAACTAGTTATCAGCCTGGTCTTGCCACTAATTTGCTTACAATGAGAGAGTTGGCTTAAACAATCTCTCAGGTTTCCCTTCAGTTCTGATGTTATGTTACCTGGACCTGAAGACTATCTTTGTAGTCTTGAAAAATTGGTAATCAAGTTAGGGCTTCCTGAGAGACAAAGGAAAATTTTCACAGTGCGCCCCTCCCCCTTCATCAAAAAAGCCTTGGTACTCACACCTTGTCAGTTGCCTCTACCTGCTGGACCCCTATGAATGGAAGGTGGAGAACTTCCATTTAAAGAGGTCCAGGTGGGCCATCTCTTCATTTCTCACACTGGCTGCACATTTTTGAACTTCATCATGCTTCATCATTATGAATCATCAAATCAGCCTCGGTACTCATACCTCATCAGTGCCTTCTACCCCTCTGAAGAGAAGTGATGAACCTCCATTTAAGGAAGGCCCCAGACCAGCCATCTCTTCATTTCCCATCTAGTTTAACTACTTTGGACTGGGTACCTTCTGTCTCCCTCACCCCCTTTCAGCTTCCTTTTGTGTATTGTCTTCCCCCACTAAATAGTAAGCTCCTTGAGGGCTTCATTTAATGAAAAAGAAATATTCTTTATTTTAGCCTGCACATTTCTGGCTGTTAAAATAAAAATATCTGAGTTACAATTGCCAAGGGAACTCTAACAATCTCCATAAATATGCAGGGAAGATAAAGGTTGAGCTCCTACTGGAATGGGAACAGATAAATGTTCTCCTATAAATTCACAGAAGAGAATCATAAAAATCAATTTTCCTCTGGCAGGTTGTGAGTGGAAACTCACTAGGACCTGAAGCAAGAGACAAAGTCCTGTTCTAGTTTCTATTTGAGGGAGACTCAAACTCCAAAGAGATGAATTTACTAACCTCTCTATCCCAGTTGGAGATAACACACAAAAACCTACACTGGCCAAATGAAAAAATAATAATGGAGCTTTATCAGAGAAACTGATGCTAGGTGGAAGCTCCTACTGTACTTGGAGGTAAATAGCCTGTCTTAGAATCCTGGATCTGATGCTTCCTAGCTACATAAACCTGGGCAATGACTTAAGCTCTCCCAGACTTAGTTTCCTCCTCTCTTTTTTTTTTTAATTTTTTTTTTTGGCTAGGCAATGGGGTCAAGTGACTTGCCCCAGGGTCACACAGCTAGTAAGTGTTATATGTCTAAGGCCAAATTTGAACTCAGGTCCTCCTGACTTCAGGGCCAGTGCTCTATCCACTGCGCCACCTAGCTGCCCCGAGTTTCCACCTCTCTTAAAGAGAAGGTTGAACTAGATCATGGGTTCTTAACCTTGAGTCATTAACTTATTTTTAAGATATTTTGGTAACTATATAATTGTTTTCATTTGTAATCCTATATATTTTATATTTATATTATGCATTTTAAAACATTATTCTAAAAAAAAAAAGGCCATAGGCTTTACCAGACTGTCAAAGGAGTCCACGACAGAAGAAAGATTAAGGACCTCTTTACTAGATGACCTAAAACCCCTTCCAGCTCTAGTATGCTACAATCCTATGATCTGAGGACCATAAAAAAAAAAAGTAAAGGCATTTATTGTTTCAACAAGCAGACTGGTTTTTTGGACACTCATCCTAAATATTACAGAATCATCACTATATGGTCACTGATTTAGAGCTGGAAAGGACCTTGGAGATCATCTATTCAACCCTCTTCATTTTACAAATGA